ATGGAAAAAAATTTATTTAAATATCTTAAAAAAAGTTTCAAGCAATTTTCTAATTAAATTTTGTACTTTTTAAAAGAAAGTTGAAAATGATAAGGGGTTTTCCACATATTGAATTTTGTTCCTGCTGTGTGTGTAATTTGCAATACTGCATATAGTTTGTCTAAAGTAAGTTCTCCCCTAGCCATTCGACTGGACCTGTGGCGGTGACTATGGTTACGAGGTATAACTATTTCAAGTAGGGGTGTGGGGTCACTGTTTAGGCCAGGTTTTGGCTCGGCTCAGCGAGATAAAGGAAATCTTTTTCTTCGTTTTATTGTGTTAGCCCTAGAGTGAGGAGGAGCTACCCACCCTGAAATGCGCTATTCTTGTTCTCATAAGAGCAGTCGGCCTCAGGTTTCGTGGCGGGGGGAGTTCTTACCGTAGGCAAACTATACCCAACTCGACTACCTTCTCCTCCAATTCCAAGTAGCATTAACTGTATATTCTTCGCTTTTTATCACAAGTGTAGTAGCTGTGTTTATGACATATCTTTTAATTATCATCTTAAAATTAGCATATCTTTTGAAGCAATTGATTTTTAATGTCATACAGCACCACTTATCAGCCAACTTTTGAATTATTTTTTCTTTTATAAAACAAATTCCCATTGCTTTGCGCTCACCCAGATAAAATATTAGAACATTCTGACCTGTAGTTCTTTTTTTTCTTTCTAAATGGCCTTTTGAAATTGATGTTGTTGTTGTAGTTCATTTACGTCGCACTAGGGCTGCACAATGGGCTATTGGCGACGGTGTGGGAAACATCCCTGAGGATGCTCCGAAGACCTGCCATCACAATTTTGATCCTCTGCAGAGGGGATGGCACTCCCGCTTCGGTAGCCCGACGACCTGCAAGCGAAGTCGAGCACTTTACGGTAGAACAGTTTAACGAGGACCAATACCGTACATCCTCGGTCCCTACGCAGACTGAACCAAGTGGTCACCCACCCGCACACTGACCGCAGCCAGTGTTGCTTGACTTCGATGATCTGCTGGGAACCGTGTCTTTTCGATCAGTCCACTGCTGTACCTTTTGAAATTGAAATTTTAATTATAACCACTTCGTGGATGTACTTATTTATTTAGTAAAGTAAAGAAAGTATAAATTGCATATAAAAATAAACTATTATTATAGGTTACATAGATTTTAATAGATATAGGTAGGAAAACCATGTCAAGATTACATTCTGAATTTTAAATTTTTAATGTTCTCATTTGTTTAATTAATATGATTGAAATCACTATAGTGCAAAAGATTAAAAACATCAGCTTAGCCCTGTGCCAGATTTTTTTCTGGCTTTCTGCGAAAAAACCTTTCTAGCACTAATATATTTCTACAAGATATTTTTAATAATAATAAATATGTATGAAATGAATTTACAATAACAAAAGCGGTCTGTGTTTATAAAAAATCTGCATGTTTTCAATAAAACTGTATTATAAACTTTTTTTAAATTGTTTTACTTAGGTTTAAAGTTTTATAGGAAGTAATCTTTTTAACTGAAGAATGGGTAAAATGATTTTATAAATCAATTCTATAGAAACTTAAAATGAATAAATTAACTCAAGTGCAGACAGAAATGCTAATATTAACACAAGAAAAGGTTACTTACTACGTGTGTGCAGAAAAAGCATTTGAAATAGTTAAAAGTAGAAAAAAAAGAGAATTAAACTTATATAACGTTTGTTTTGTTTAACGCAACCTTGATTTCAACTATCTCGCAATCTTTTCTTCTATTGTTGTTTTCCAGGGGAAAAAAAAATTCTACAGACATGTGAATGCCGTAACAAGAAATTATCTAATTATTTAAAAATAAAATTTAAGAGAAGGAAAATATTTTGGATTTAATTACTTTTTTTCTCATTGACTTCAAAAGAGAATGCATATTCTAATAATATCGGGAATATTCTTGCATTTGGGGAGGGGGGGGGGGAAGAACATATAACGCAGTTTTTTTTTTNAAGCTACACTCGCCTTAAAAAAAAAACAAACGGGATTTTAAAAACTGTTTAATCCGTGGAAATATAACTGTTGAAAAAGAGATCAACGACAAAGGCGTGTAATTTTACGACGAATTCACGCAAATCGAACACGTCAAGTCTGAAGATGATTACTCAAATGCCCAATTCGGGATTTGTGAATCGAAAAAAATAATATTGTTTTAAAAAATATCGAAATTTATAAATCAAATGGAAATCAATAGCAAAGACTTATGTTAAATCGAACAAAAAATTAGGTTATTATTCGTTTTTATAAATGAATAATCAAATGCATGACTCGAGTTTCACAAGTCGCAATAATATAGCGTGAAAAATATCTGGATTTAAACAAAAAGATGAGAAAATTCGTTGTATTAACTGCATAAAGCACTCTAAATTCCTCATGGATTTGCTATAGAATTGGCAAGAAATGAATGCCTCAAAAAGTGAGAATGCAAATGGGCATTTCAAGTTTTATGTGTCAAAATAATATCGGGATTTTGAAAACCAAGCGAAAGTAAATAGCAAGCAATAACTGCTGAAAAATTGATTGAAAAACTGCATAGTTTTTATTTTATTTTATGGAAACTGTGAAAATCGAACGCATCTTGAAATGATTATTAGATTCGAATTTCACGTGTCGTAATATCACATAAAAATATCGATATTTTATTCACTTGATTCGATTTTGTTTTAAAAGGAATTTTATGATTCCTTTATTAGAAATCGAAATTAATAATAAAATCATCACTGGTAGAATACATAATGCTGTTCGAAGACACACACACACGCACGCACACTCTTTTCGAGAATGGATTTTCCAAGTGGTAGTAAAATAATTACCGAAAAACTATCTTCCTCAAATATATATATATATATTTTAATTAGGTTAAAATTCGCTATTGTAGGAACTAATATGCTTTTACATATTTGTTGTAATTATTTATATGTAGTGGTGGTCAAACTGATTTAAAATTATTATTATAATTCAAAAAGTTTAGTGAAA